AACAGAAAAGAGATGATTAGCTAGCCTTTCTAACATTTGGTCAATAAAAGGAAGAGGGAAGTAGTCTTTCCTAGAGGCTGCATTCAAATTTCTGTAATCTATACACATCCTATGACATGTGATGGTTCTGGTTGCTATCAGCTCATCCCTTTCATTTTTGATAACTGTCATTCCACCCTTTTTGGGTACCACATGAACTGGTGAAACCCATCTAGAGTCTGAGATAGGATAGATTATCTCAGCCTCTAGGAGTTTTAGAATTTCCTTTTTCACTACTTCTTTTAAGTTAGGATTCAGCCTCCTTTGTTGTTCAATGGATGACATAGATTCTTCTTCAAGATGAATTCTATGAGTGCATAGGTTGGGTGAGATACCATTTATGTCATCCAATGAATAACCAATGGCTCTCCTATACTTTCTCAGTTTATTCAATAATGCATACTCTTGATCATCTAACAACCTATCATTTATGATGACAGGGTAAGACTCAAACCTAAGAATGCATACTTGAGCCCTCTTGGTAGAGGTTTGAGCTTAACAGGGGGTGATTTAGTCTCATCCCAATCCTCCATGAGGCTCCTTTGATCAGCTTCTAGCCCAATGTTGTTGGCTTCTCCCTTTTGTTCAGGTCTCATTTCTCCTTGAAGACCCACTTTGCCTTTGTCATTTGAACCTACACCGGGTACCACATTGAGCTTATGCACCCCTTTGTTGTTCTTTTCTTCATTTGTCTTGCCAAAAATTTCCCACACCGGGCTTGTTAAAGCCGATATCCTGCCCGGTGCTAACTTCTGCGCATCTCCGACTGGTTTTACACCGAGTTCCGCACCTGGAAGATGCACCTCAGTGTTAAAACTGTCGAAACTCCTTTGTTCCTCAAGCATGTACACCGGGTAAACTTTGTATGATGCTGACCCTGGTGTAATCCTTTCCTTGTGAAAATTTCCAACACCGAGGTTCCTCTTGCCGGTGCTGAGCTCGGTGTAGCCCCCATCCGAACTTGTTGAACTCAAAACATTCCACACCGGGCTCAAAATGGTCGGTGTACTGCTCGGTGCTGGGTCCTATCTCCTTTGATAATCATTCACACCGGGTTCCACATCGGAAAGATGCACCCCAGTGTTAATGATCTCTTGACACTTAGGTGTTTTTGAGCCTCCAAAACCTTCTTCTTGAACCTTGTAGTCTAACTCCATGAAAGATGCACTGCTTCTCTCTGGTTTGTGTTCATCAAGAAGCTTCATAAACCACAAGGTCTCATCTTCTAGATAGCCATACTCACCATGTTCCTTTGTTAAAGCTATTTGGAGAGGGTCCTCAAGATTTAACTCCTCCAAAAGCTCATCAATTAGCTCATCCATGGTCTTTATGTAGAAGACTTGACCTTCTATGGTGGGTTTCTTCATCATCTCTTTCACTTCAAACTTGAGTCTCTCTGATCCAAGCTGGATTTCAATCATGCCATCCTTTACATCTATGATGGCACCAGCAGTGGCAAGGAATGGTCTGCCTAAGATGAAAGGATCAATGGGTTCCTCATCCATTTCCAAGACCACAAAGTCTGTTGGAACCTCAAAACCACCTATATTGACTGGTAGATCTTCAAGCATTCAAACTGGTAATCTAACAGACCTATCAGCTAAGACTAGAGAGATTCTTGCTGGCTTGAACACTATGAACCCCAACTTCTTTGCTATTGAAAATGGCATCAAACTCACTGATGCTCCTAAGTCACATACACAACCAGTAAACATCAAAGGACCAATGGCACAAGGAAGTGTGAAGCTCCCTGGATCTGATAGCTTTCTAGGGATTGTCCTCCTTTGTATGATTGCATTGCACTCATGACTCAACACGACCATCCCTGTTAGCTCATTTGTCTTGTTGAGGATGGCATCTTTTAAAACTTTTCCAAGCTTTGGCATCATGAGAAAATCTTCTATGAGAGGCATGGTGAATGGGGTTTCATTAAGCTGTTTTTCAAAAACTGCTCTAGCCTTGTGTAAGAGTTGCTTCTTAAACCTTCCAGGGAATGGAAGTTTAGGCTGATAAGGAGGTAGTGGAACATAAGGCTTCTCAGGTTCTGATTCCTTCTCCACCTCTTTAGCTTTTCCTTTCTTTGAAACTTCATCCTCTTGCTCATCCCTTGGCGCTGCCTCCCCACCAACTTGCTCATTGTCCTCAATGAGCACTCTGTGTTGTGTTAGACCTGGTAGCTCTTTGCCACTTCTCAAGGTGATGGCATTAGCATACTCCTTTGGGTTAGGTTCTGGTTTACCTGGTAGAACTCCTTGGTTTTTTGAAGTAGAGGCTTGATTCTGCTTAAGCTCCCTTAGCTTTTGTTGCATGGATGTATACTTTGAACCTAGATCAGAAAACCCACTCTCAACTGCTGTAACAACTGCTGTAGTACTCCACACAGGTTCTGGTTCCCAATGTAGTTCAACTCTTCTTGAGTTAAATCTTCTTCATTGATGCCCTCAAAGCTTGATGACTCATCAAATTCACCAACATAATGGATTGGTTTTTGAGAAACCATCTTCAGCTTGTCAAGTTCATTTCTCAGCTCTTTAACTTCTCTAGAAAGCTTTTGCTCTGAGCTTGAACCATCAGATCGGTTTGATCTGTCATAATCCTCACCATATGTGTCATTAGACATAGCCAGATTCTCAACAAGTTCCATAGCAGTTTTAATCTCTTTTGCCAAGAAGTTACCATTGGAGGCTGTGCCTAATTGGTTTCTTATCTTTGGTAGTGCTCCTCTATAGAGTGTGGAAAGTAGAGAAGCTTCAGAAAACCCATGGTGTGGACACTGATTGATGTATGTCCTGAACCGCTCCCATGCTTCTCCAAAAGTTTTATTTGAGTGTTGTGTGAAACTAGAGATCTGGTTTCTAAGCTTGGATGTCCTGCTTGTGGAGAAGAACTTGGTGAGGAAAGCTTCTTTACATTGTTCCTAAGTCTGAATACTCCCAACTGGTATATTCCTCTCCCATTGTCTTGCTTTGTCTCCCAAGCTGAAGGAAAACAACCGGAGCTTAAAACCATCTTCTGAGACTCCATTTATCCTGGTCAAGTTGCAGACCCTATCAAACTGATCAATATGGTCCCAATGGGTCTTCCATTGGCAGTCCATCAAAACTTAGAGTTTTGGACCATATTAATCAGTGATGCTTTGACTTTAAAGTTATTGTTTTCCACTGATGGACAAACAATACCAACTCTGTTCTGGTGAGCATTGGTTGTATCATTGGCTCCCACATAGATTGGTTGGTGTCCTTGACGTCTTTGAGCCCTTTGGTGTTGTTGCGCATTGGCCTGGTGCCTTTGCTGGTTCTGTGGATGTCGTGCCTGATTCTGATGGCCCTGAGCTTGTCCCTGGTGGATATTGGCTTGCTGATTCGGCACATTACCCTGCTGAACTCCTATACTAACTCCCTGATCGTGTGCTTGAGCCTGTTGCTCTTCTTGAACCGGCTGTTCAATATCAACGACGTGATGCTCCATATCAACAGCTTGTTCTTCTTCCCTTGGCTGTCTATTTCTTCTTTGTACCAAGAGGTTGATGTTGCCGTTGAGAGGAAATGGTGGACCACAACTTCTAGACCTTGATCTGGTGTTCATACACCTGAAAACAAAGACAGAACTTGCAAAGTAATTAGTAAAACAAAAGAAAAGGACTTGATCTCAAGAAAGTATCAAAAACTAATGCTAAACCATACTTTGGCAATGGTGCCAATTGATAACTATAGGTTTTTAGGCCTTTAGATAGGGTTATCAATCCCTTGTCAATGTAGTACAAAGGGTTATCAATCCAAATATGTGGGTAGACACTAGTTCATGATGATAGTTTCTTAATCCAAGAAATATGATGAGTTTGGGTTGTGACAAGTGCTCAAAATAAAACTAAAACAAGTATTAAACAAGTGATCAATGGAAATGAAACAAACAAGACAAGCGATGACAAGTACGCAAGATGATAATGATATGATATGATGAAGGAAAAGTCTTAGACAAGATAGATGGTTAGGGTGCTTTAATGCTAAACCAGAGAGTTAAATGAACAAACAATCAAGCAACACCATTCAACATAGACTCTTAAGTAAGATAATCCTCTCATGAAGGCATTAAACTTCTATGCTAATCTTCTTTCATACCAAATTTCCATTTGAGAAGCATGAATCAACAAGCATTAAGAATTAGTCTAATAGGTCATTTAAGCATTAAACAATCACTCTCATGATGAAAAACACTTAAACCTCTAACAATCTTGGTTCAGGCATTTTCACAAATACCTTTTGGGTGATGAAATGCCTAAGATCTAGACTAGAGTGATGTGCAAAGATCTAGCTTTGAGAATAACTTGTTAGAGAATGGAGGATGCAAGATCTAACCCCTAAACTCTCTAGTCTAACATCTTCGCACCCTAACCTACTCATCTAAGACCTTAAGATGGATCTACTCACTAATCATAATTATCTCCCTTGACCCTTTGCAAGATGGGTAGACAAGCATGATTAGTTGATAAGAAATGATAGATGGATGATAGATGATGATGAAATGATGATTAAAGCTTTAAACTCTCTTGATTTAAGAAGAAAATGGAGATATCTCTCTCAAAGTGTATTCTTTCACAAAAGAGGCAAAAATTTTAACGGAAAATGAGATAATCCTAAGGGTAAAACCCTAAAAAGTATTTATAGTTGTCTCCTAATTTCCGGGTCAATCCGGGATAAACCGTGTATTGACCCGGAAAGAAAAGCTCTTAAAAATGCAAACAACTTCACACCGGGATGTGTTCGTCCGATGCTCCGATGTTGTGATGTCCTGAAGCTTGTCTTGGCGTGTGTGGTGATACCGGGATGCAAATGGCCGGGGTTGTCCTCAGTGTTGTGGAGAAAACTCGAACGATGTGACTAGCATCAGGGTTCATTTCCCAGGTGTAGATGCCGGTGTAAAATGAGAACTTCTATGAGATTTACGCCGAGGAGCACACCTAGATGAAGCTGCTCAGTGCTGGGAAGATTGCTGGAATGTGTGAGCTAGCACCGAGGTCAATATGGCCGGTGTGAAAGTCCGTGTTGATTAAAGGGTTTGAAACGATGCAGATTACACCGAGGTGTTCTTCTCCGATGTTGTGGCCGGTGCTGAACGTGCAAAAAGATTGGTGCAAGGCTCAACTAGCACCGGAGTGCATTATCTCGGTGTGGACCATGTTGTTAGACTCAGTGTAGCAAAATCCCCAAAATAAGCCCAACACCGGGGTTAGTCTTCTCGGTGTTCATCTCGGTGCCAGGAACTTCTCAGCACTTAAACTATTGTAACTTCCTGCTCAGCACTCAGAATCCAAATTTTCCAACTCTAGGTAAAAGAAAACTCACTCAGCTTTAACTTTGGTGAAAAGACCATCTGTATCCGGGGAGAGGAAGGTGTCCCGGACGGTAGATCTTTGAGACGCATCGGAATGCTCCGGAAAAGGGTTTCAGAACCTTTGTTCACTCCGGAAACGTTATCTCCCAGCTCAGAGCTCCAAACTGTGTGATGTAAAGTGTTATGGAAAGACGACTTAAAGCTCTTAAATCTTGAAGAAGGCTTCGGAAACTGAATCGGTCTGGAAAGGTAGCGTCCTGCATAATCTTTGAAGCACATCAAATCGATCTGGAATGCAAGCGAGACAGGCATGTCTTCCGGTGGCCATAACTCTCAGCTCACTGATCTGAATCCACTGATTCTGGCTTTTCTGGAGATCCCGGAAGCTGAATCGGAGGGCAAGGCTCCCCGGACGAGTGATCTTTGGCGCGTATCAGCAGAATAGGTTTTAGCCGAGGGCTCGTGTACTGGTGCGCGGGTTTTGGCCAATAAACTGATCTCGCGGTAAGGTTTTTAGCCAGTAAAACATAACCTGTCTCGGCATGAAATTCAGCCGATGCAACCTCCATCCGGTACAGCTTTTTGTAGATGAAAACTTCACTCGGTAAGCATTTTAGCCGAGAATTGTAGCCTGCAGTACATGGCTTTTGCTGATAGATCCAAAAACACCATGTCCACCATTTCTGATCTTTCAAACTCCATTGCATCCCTTGGTCTCACCTGTTCTACTCCAAAAGCCTCCAAAGTACCTGCTTATGACTCCAAACCATGCCAAGGTTCATTGGGACTTAATGCAAACCCCTAAGTCCTAAAATAATACCTAAATACCTAATGCATGAAATAAGACATGATTTGGACAAAAACATGCAAGCTAAATGATGCAATTTATGAACATATCATTAATACAAGATCCAATAGGTATTTAGGGCAGAACCAAAACCAATTCGAACCGGAGATTTCAGGTTGGTTCCGGTTTGGGTATTTCGGTTCCAGTTTTTATGTCCAGGGTGAATGATGAGTATGAGGAAGATGAAGAGTAGTTCCAAATGGTGTGGCTTTTTGGGAATTTTTCTTTAAATTAATTTGGATATTAGTTAGTTATTTTTAAAAACATTACTTGTATCTGCTTCGGTTTATTTAAGAATTTAAGTTATTATTATTTTTATTATTGTAAGATATTGGTTTTAGAATTGGAATAAAAAGTATTATTTTTAAATATGATATTACGTTTACAAATGTTCAGGCCGGTTTGTCTGGTTCCTTTGGAAAGACGGGATCTGGTGTTCACAAAAAGCCATATGCTTCATCCCCTCCCCCGAACGAGCCTGCACTGGATCTACATTGAATGTTAGCTCGATCTTCATCGGATTTTTGCCCAATTTTTATTGGATCTTTTTCGAGAGGCTGAGGAATTTAATTCTTGTCCAACCCAAAACCAGCTTTGTTGTAGAAAAAGAAAGAAGAAAAGGAGAAATGAGAGAAGAAGTCTTTCACTTAGATATTTAAAAAAAAAAAAAAAACTCGTAATCTTTTAAAGATGATATGGCATGGAAGACTATTTTCATCGTATAAACAAACAATGCAAATAATTCATCTACATTTTTTGCTGTATGTTTACTATCTAATTACTCCCCACACTTGTTTTTGATGTAGTTGTTTCTTTTTTTTCCTTCTAAAGTTTTATTATAATATCCAAACATGATATAAAGCCGGATAAACAGAAGACTTAACCTGAAAATTTTATGGAAGATAACGTTAACCGAAAAAATTATGTATTCTGAGAGAAACGCTAAAAAAAAACAAAACATAAAAACAAACCCAAAAATAAGATAAAACAAACCTAAAAAAGATTAACATCTAGCTAACTAAAACTGAACTTCTAAATCTAGTTGTTTTTATTTTATTTTCATATCTATACTATTAAAAGGAAAACATTTATTGTGTCCAAACAGATTTTACTTAGTTTTCTATAATTCTGTTTTTAGATAACTTCTATTTATGTTACCAAACAAATCAATTTAATATAATTTTGATAAAATAATTTATTTTTAATTTATATTTCAAAATAAATTCAAAAATGTAAATTTGAATTTAGATTTAGATTTCCTTTAATATAGGTTATAATATTTATCAAAAATCATAAAATAAATTATTATTATATTTTTTAAAAAATAATAAGTCATATATTAATTTAAATTTAATTTAAATATTCAAATTTAAATAATACTTTCAATGACAAAGATGAAAATAATATATTATCGTATATTTTTATTCAATAAGTCTAAATTTTTAAATATTTAAACTTAAAAATATAAAAATACACAAATAATATGAATGAGAGATTATAATTATGTTTTAATAATCATGATCTTTTTCGAATTACTATAAATAAATATTTTCTAATAAAAATTTTATAATCGTTGTACTTTTTAAATTAATATAAACGGATAGGTTAGAATAATATTTTTTAATCACAAGCATATTTTTTTTCGTCTACCCAATTAATACATCACATTTGGCTAGTCAGAAGATTGATCCGTAAACTATCTTCGACCGGCTTGGTATTACTGATTTGGGAAAATATTACACTTCGTGTGCGAGCTCTTTTTGCAAAACTATCAGCCCATACATTTAAACATCGGGGGATATGATATATTGTGAAATCCAGAAAGCTTTCTCGGAGGATGCGAAAGGATTCCAGTTATGGCATAAAACCCGGCTAGTCCGCTGGAAATTCGGTCATACTCACTAGATCCAAACAATCGGACTGGAAATGTACCGAAGTCTTCTATCTCTTTCTCAAGCATGACATAGCTCAAAGGAGGCTATCCAACTCGGCATAAAGAGCCGAGAGGCTTCTGCCGTATCATTGAATACTAAAAAGCTATGTTCCCCTCCCTTCCTCAGAACTCCAACCAAGGCCACTAACCGATCCATGATTGATCCAAAAGGCATCAATCCGACATGTCCGGAGTCGCTGGACCTCAGTAAGAGATCCTGAGGTTGGATGGGATTGCGGTGTCCCAGCGTCTATGTCGTCGATTCTTTGGGTTGGTTCGCGATCTTCCAACTCTCTGTTTCCACCCTGGCTAACAACAGAGAATCTTCCGGAGAAATTTCTTTCCCGTTAAAGATCTTGTCGTTCCTTGCTTTCCAAATATATACCATAAGATCCAAGGATATACATCTTTTTGGGGATCTGTCATTCCTAACTCTTTTGTTTTCCAAATGAGGAAACTCATATTTTGGTAAATAGAGGTACTCGGAAAGAGGCCCGGAAGAGACGAAAAATCCAATAATGCCCAGACTTGTAAAACCGGGGGACATAAGAACAGGAGATGGTTTATGGTCTCTTCAGGATCCCTACACCTGGGGCATCACTTATCAGTACCCAAATGTCGGTATGTAAGATTATGGTTTATTGCCACACATCCTGATAGGGCCTGCCACATAAAATGTCTTATCTTTCCCGGTGTGCAGAATTTCCACACATAACTTTGAAGCGCTGTAATACCCGGTTCTATCATCACTCCAAAATCTCGTTCTAACTTCATCCTTCTAATCAGGTCATGACCTGATTTGACAGAGTATAAGCCTGATTTTGTATGATTCCATGCGTAGCCATCTAAAGTATGGTTCCGGCTAGATCTCAACCCAAGAATAAGAAAAACATCCTCAGGGTGGAAAAATTCTCGTAAAAGAGGAACATCCTATTGTTTTGTATCCTGGCGTATAAAGGAGTATACTAACAGTTTCGGGTCCTGAATTCCGACCTGAGGAGCAGCTCTCGCCGGGCGAGCCTTATGGTCTGGGATCCAAGGTTCACTCTAGACTCTGGTATTAAGACCAGACCCATTGTCTTCCTTAAACCCATCTTCAGGAGTGGTTTTGCGGCCATAATGCTCCGCCACCCATAAGATGGTGAGTTGATAACACCGTATTTTGACCACTTTTATGGATCGTTTTGAATACTTTTTCTATGTTTTTAATTGCTTTCAAGTATTTTTACTACGTTTTTCTAGTATTTGTAGTTCCAAGACTCTTTTCAGGTAACTTAGGGAAAAGCTAACAAAATGGATAGAAAACCAGATTTCAGCTCAAAGTCATACCGTCAGAAGTTCACCCCCGCTTGAAGGCCTTTTCACAGTCTGATCCAGCTCAAATTTGGAGATCTAAAAGATGGAAGTATCAACTTTCCAGCACACTTTACAGCTTGGCAATCCAATGCTTCAATCAAAAGATACGCGAAGAGCAAGATGTCCCGTAAACCAGCCGGCAAGCGTTTCCACCCGCGGCCAACAGGCCATTCCCCGCGGTCACAACCATCCCGACCGCGGCCAGCCACCCATTCCTTGTGGTCATGCACATCCCGACCGCAGCCAGCTAACTCCGACTTTGAAGGCCCATTTCTAAAGCCCGTATCATTTTCCCAGCCTCAATTCTGGAACCCTAGACACCAGAGAGTATTGGAGACTATAAATACATGTCATTTAGGTCATTTTTAAGAAGAGAATAAGATAGACGAAATACTTTACAGAAATATTACTTTAAGCTTTGTTTTTAGGTTTTAGGGAGAGAGAGATATGTCTCTTGAACCCTTGTTCTTTCTTTTTCAATTTTGGTTTCTATTCTACCTTTTAATACTATGTTTTTGATTTCGTTTATCATGTCTGAGTAGTTTTATTGTTGGGTCTAAGGGATTTTTGATGGGGATATATATGTTCGGTGGGGATTCCATTGGCTATTGAGCCGAATCTTATAACTTTTTCTTCTGAATTCGTTTTTACTGCATGAGAGTAGCGTCATGAACTACAATCTGATCGAGATGCTTGGTGATACGAAAGTGTT